GAGATTCCTAGGCTGTGATCATACAGAAGTAGACGTCTGAGCAGCTGGTGGGTGAGAACCAAGGGCCTTTTGGTTAGCAGTGGGCACTTAGCCAATAGTATCACTAGGTTTTTTTTTGTCTTCACTAGGCCAGAACTTTGTTGCCAGATTCTCCAGGTCTGGGAGAAAGAGTATCACATTTACCCAATGGCTTTTACCCAGGTTGTCTTATTTTCCCCCACAAGGGGTTTTTGAGACATTAAAAATTTTTCTCAAAGTTACTACAAATCAGTATTTGTTCATAGTGGGTAACAGTCAGGAATGCCGCTAAACATCTGATAATGTTCAAGACGGCTCCCTGGCACCAAGGTATCCATTCCAAATGCCAACTGTGCTAACACTGATATGTCATGCTACTATTTGCCATTTCTTTTCAAAATTTTTATTGGGATTTGGGTGAACATTTACAGTGCAAATTGGTTTTTTGATTCAACAATTCACACCCATTTGGTTCCTGGCACTGAGTACAATCCCCACAGTGCCCTTCTCACTTCCTCTTTGATTTTACCATTTCCACTGGTCTTTTCTCCCTATCTAACCTTTATTTTGACCCAAATATGTCCTTTCAATCTTGTATAGTTGATCATTCTAAAGCCTAAGTACTTCCAGGTGTTGTTTACCTTGTAGGTCTGTCTATTGTTTGCCTAAAAATTGGGCTATGAGGATGAGTTTGGTTTTGGATTGACTGAAGAATACCATATCTTAGGGCCACAGTCTCAAAGCCACTGGTGTCTACTGGTCCAGTAAGCCTTGCCTTTTTCACTCTTTTGACATGCTTCTCCTCCTTTGTCAGAGATCTCTTGTGATCACTTTCCAAGTGGTCAGGAGTGACAGAAGGGCACCATCTAGTTCTTCTGGTTTCAGAGGTGTGGGGGCTGGGTGTCACATGGTCTCTTAGTCCTTTGGACTAATTATCTCCATACATCCTTGAGTTCCTTCACTTTTTTTTTTCTGTATGAGGGGAGACCATACTTTAGACTGCTCTTCACAAGCTTTTAGGACATCGATTGCTTCTCATCCAAGCAAGATACTGAACACAGTCTGTGGATTATATTAGTCAATTGACTTTGCTGTTGACCTTGTTGAGATTATGGTCTTAAACCTCATTTGCCAGACTCATTTGCCTTTTCTTATAGTTTGTTGAATATTTTCTAAATTATTCTTGAAAAGTATACTTTATTAATGATTTATTGTTTCACTGACAGTAAAGACTTGTGGATTATTTTAGATGGCAGGCAAGTGGAAAACTGAGTTCTCTGCTACCACTGTACTCTCTGGATGGCATTGGACACCTTATCTGAAGAGAGCAGAGGCAAAGGATCTGAACAACGTTTACGACTAGTTTTCAGCCCACTTAGAAAATACAGGGTAAATAACTTAATTTTCTAGCAGGAGTTCTCACCAGTTCCACACTACTTTAAGTAAGTTGAGATTCACAGCTGGTAGAATATTCAAGAATACTTCCCTAAATGGGAGGTGACTATCACTTGCATGACATTTAGTTGAAAGCATTTTTCAGAAGAAATAGAGTAATACACAGCATCATCTAAAGGCATATTACCAACCTCAAGACCAGGGAGTGAAATGAAAGGTTTCTAATAAAAATGAAAATACATTATTCTTAACTCTAACTAGTCTTTAATATTTTGTCTCTAGCGCAAAGCGCTTTAACATTCACTACAATTTCTCTTGATGGAAAAAAATGGGTTTACTCACATCAGAAACAACTAACAGGATACATCAGAACTTTTATCAGTGAAAAGTATTGAGGGACTTTTGTTTTTACAATTTCTGACAGTGTTCTGACAGTGTTTAGGTCAACACAAAAGAAGCAGCCCCTCAGACGAGACAGACTGATGTAGTGGTTTCAAAAATGGTCTCAAAAAAAAAAACGGCCTCCAACAGAGCCATGACTGTGAGGACGCTGCAGGACCAGACAGCATTTTGATCCCGGTCCACCGAGCTCCTGTGAGTCGGGAAGGACTCAGCGGCATCGAACAATATAACCAGTTCTCTAAGGAACAGATTTTCAGAGAACTTAAAACTTAAACATTACTTTTCTGCTCCACTATGCTTTCCAATGCATTTACAATAAGCTGATATTTCATTGTTGTTGGTCTGTGCTGTCAAGCCAGAACCAACTTCTTCAACTGGTTTTCAGGGGCAGCTGATCACATGGAAGTAGACTGCTTATCCTTCTCCCATGGAGCAATTGCTGGACTTGAACGATGTACCTTTGGGTTGCTAGCCAAATTCCTTATCACTCAGCCACCAGAGCTCCCTCATATTTTATTAGCAGTATAAAGCTCTTAAGTAGTTTGAACATATTCTTAATGTATATGTTCTTATGTATTCTTTTTTCTTTTCTTGTTGTATACCATCAAATCAGATCCAACTGGCACAGGAGGAGACTGCCCCTCCTTCTCCAGTGGAACATTTGGGGGATTAGAACCACAGAACTTTGGGATTGCAGCATGGCTTCTTGCCACCATGCCACCTGAGCTCCTTTGTTCTTATGTATTCTCAGTGTAGGTATACTTAAAGTATAAACCACTTAAGTAGTCAGATATATTCTCTATCTGGAGGGAGACTTTCCTTTCTAAATACGAGTTATTAGGATGGGGGTAAGGCCAGGGAGCATACTCCTTCTACTCTCAAAAACAACAGAATTATAAGAGATAGAAATACTTTTTCATTTAGTATAATTCAAGCCACTTACTTAATATCACTAATGGCTTTCTGTATAAACAAATCAAAGCAAGCCCAGTTTTATATGTCTCAGAGACACTGTGAATGGGCCACGTAACCTCTAAAAACCATTATTATAAAACAAAGCAAAATACTAAAAAGAAAACCAGTTCTGTTGATCTAATTGATTCAAACTCATGACTACCTCATATGCAGAACAGAACTGGACTCCAGAGGGCTGCCAATGGCTGTATTTTTGCAGGTGTAACTCTTTCCTCCAAGACAACTGCAGCAGACGAGACCATCCAATCTTTCAGTGACAAGCTGAACACTTAGACATTTTTACCACACAGAAGTCCCTTCAAAATGCTATAAGCACTCACTTTCAGATATGGTAAATTCAATCAAGACCCTTAGTTTTTGCAATCGTCTCTTCTCTTAGTCCAAAATGAGTAGAACATTTGTTCTAAATCTGAACAACACAGAACGCTGTTTTAATGACTTTGGAAAAGAATTTACATACATGGGCATCTGCAAAGAAGCTTAACTTGAGAATTGAAGGCCTGATTGAGCTGGAAGCAACATCTTTCAGGTGAACAAAAGAAAGATGGGTTCCTTAGATGTCGCTGGAAATGAGGTTAGCCAGAAAATGAAAGCAGCTCACAGATGAACATAGGTGTGAACAAGCCACGTTGAAGCGCTAGAGGAAGAATAGCCTAACACACACATTCAATCACTCACCACCTCATCTGAGCTTCCAGAAAAATTCAATCAAATGCTCTCATTTTTCATTTATGAATTCTTTAATAACCCAATCTTCAGTGAAATGGGGGAGAAAGAAAAATGTAACCTCAGTTCACAAACTAGGAGAATGTGGTCTTCTATCTTGCTGCTCATATCCTCAGACAGTACTTTGCCACTGAACTCTACCCTCAATTCTCCTCATAGAGAATTTTCTATTTTCAGATACTTCCGACGTAATAAGAATTAGAACAGGGCTCAGAAGACTGGAATGCCTGATGGGTTCAGGACAGTGACACTGAAGGATGTACGCTGGTATGGACCAAGGTGACATGCCAAGATCAAATTCTCTCAAAGGAACCATCAGCATGCAACTCCGGCCGATTCTACGCTTGAAATGAGATCCCCCACATTGCCAGAGCCTCAACATTTACATGATTTAAATATAATATTTTAAATGAAAATACTTAATTTAAAAATATTAGTAGAAAAACAGGGGGAAAAAATCCCACCCATTGCTAGCTGAACAAATCCAACCAGTATGTCCAATTCTATCTGCCACCTTGACAAACTGGATGAAGAAAATGAGAAATGGCTAGACCGAGGGATGATAAATTAATCAGAAGGCTAGTAATCTTATGCCATTAGGAAATCCTCGGGTCTCCCTTAATTATAAAAAGCTTTTTTTTTCATAGCAGCATTATCACACTTAAAGTTCCCGACTTAAAATGCCATTGCTGTTTAAGCTTCAAAACATTCTGCCAGATAGAGAGGGGATCTCCAGAGAAATAAATTTCATGTGTCAGAGAAAGGCAAACGTGGGTCAAAAGCTTAAGATTCTGCTGTCTCTCAAAGGCTCATGGGGGAGATTATAAAAATACCCAGCTTTACAGACGCTGCCTCTAAACCAGCATGAGGGCTGGTGGAAGAAAAAAAAAATTCCAAGTATCAAGAAATGCAAAGCAGAGGCTTTTTGTCACTGATAAAAATGCAGCAAAACAGAAGGAAAGCCAGTTCCTCCAAGTGAGCCAATAATATTTACAGCCCCTGGGCAGTGCCAGGATACTTGAGGAAATGTCAGTGTTTGTCTTTGTAAAGTAAGATTAAACTTCCTATTTACACATGGCAGATATCAGTGAAAAGAACAAAGTAAAGCTACACTTCCCTCCATTCCTTTCAAAGCATCATCACAGGAAGATCAATAGCCAAAACTAGTGCCCCGCCTCTTCCCCACTTGTCCCTTCAAAGATAAAGCCTTTGTTATGGAAAGTTCCAGAGCCAAGGTTTCTGAGGACTTTCTAGAAAATTCTCAGTTAAAAGTCAGTGATGGTCACCCAGAATGAATTAGCAAAGGGCCATTCAACATTCCGCTTCCTTTCTCTTGCCAGTTTCCCACTGGGGCTCTGACGTCTGTCTACATTCAGCTGCAATCACGTTCTTAATCCACAAAGCCATCTCTCCCTTCTACACTGAAATGAGGAAGGACCAATCAAGGCAGAGGGACATGCCAACACCTCAGTCAAGAACAGTACCTGCTCAGGCTTCAGACCCGGCGGGACCCAGGCATACTCTTCTAAGGCGCAGCCCGAGTCATCGTCGGAGGTGGAGTTCCTCTGGAAGTCAAACATGAGTTTGCTGACAGTCTTCTCCATCTCCAGCGGCATCACTGTCACCATGTGCTCCTCCTGTGGACACTTGCAGTGCAGGCAGATCTTCCTGCAAGCAACAGAGGCAACAGGTGAGAAGCACAGCATAAGGAACCATTTTCTCAGAGGCCTGCCAGTCACCAGCCCCGGGATCCTAAATTATAAACACATTCCTTGGCAATAGGCTTCTGGCAAAGCCACATAACATCCAAAGCAATGTTCCACAGCACGCCCATCTTTGTAGAGGGCGTGGCATCACTCATGTGGGAACACCTTCAAAGGCCAGAGGCTACGCAGGAAGATTGCTAAGGAGCTTTCAACGCGGACTGCAACCTTTTGTTCTAAGTTAATATCACTTGAGGAATGGTCACATACATACTCGATGTGATGTACCATCAAGTTGGAACCACTGACTCTCCAATGGGTTTTTCAGAGACAGTTAATTGCATGAGAGGAGACTGCAAATCTTTCTCCTGTGGAGCAGCTGGTGGATTTGAATTGTGTTGTTCAAAAAACTATGTTGTTGTTATGTGCTGTCAAGTCGCCTGTGACCCATAGTGACCCTATGTACAACAGCTCTGAAGCCTGCCCTATCCTGAGCCAGTCTCACTAATCCTGACACACCAAACCCCTTTGCCCCAGAGACTGTATCAATCCATTTCATCCGCAGTCTTCCTCTCCTGCGCTGTCCATTCTTCCGAGCATTATGTCCTTCTCCTGGCCACGTGCCCAAAGTATGTGACACAGAGTACACACAAACACACACACGGCTTAGAGCCAACAAGCTGCACTGCCATCCTGAAGGCATGCAGTTCAAGGCCACCACCTGTTCAGTGGGAGGATAGGCAATCTCCTCCAGTGTGATTAACTGCCTCTGAAAACGTGCAGAAGGGTCAGCTATTGGTCA